CCACCCACCCTGCAAACTTTTCGCCGGCCCCCCCCCCCTGCACCCCGGCACCCCCAGCCTCCCGAGGTCTCTGGGCATGCGATTTTCGTAAGTTTTCAGAGGCCACCCACCCTGCAAAGTCTTCGCCGGCACCCCCCCCTGCACCCCGGCACCCCCTGCCTCCCGAGGCCTCTGGGCATGCGTTTTCGGTAGGCTTCTCGGGGCCACCCACCCTGCAAACTTTTCGCCGGCACCCCCCCCTGCACCCCGGCACCCCCAGCCTCCCGAGGCTCTGGGCATGCGTTTTTGGTACGTTTTCACAAGCCACCCACCCTGCAAAGTCTTCGCCGGCACCCCCCCCTGCACCCCGGCACCCCCAGCCTCCCGAGGCCTCTGGGCATGCGATTTTGGCACGCTTTTTAAAGCCACCCACCCTGCAAATTTTTCGCCGGCGCCACTCCTGCACTCCCGCACCCACAACCTCCCGAGTTCTCTCGGCATGCGTTTTTGGTAAATTTTTAAGGGCCACCCGCCGTGCAAATTCTTCGCCAGCCCCCCCCCCTGCACCCCGGCACCCCTAGCCTCCCGAGGCCTCTGGGCATGTGCTTTGGTAGGTTTCAACGACCCACCCACCCTGCAAATTCTTCGCCGGCACCCCACCCCCCTGCACTCCGGCACCCCCAGCCTCCCGAGGCATCCGGGCATGCGTTTTGGTAGGTCGGAAGGGACCACCCACCCTGCAAATTCCTCGCCGCCCCCCCCCTGCACCCCGACACCCCCAGCCTCCCGAAACCTGTGGGCATGCGTTTTTGGTAGGTTTATAGCCACCCACCCTGCAACTTCTTCGCCGGACCCCCCCCTGCATCCCGGCACGCCCAGCCTCCCGAGGTCTCTGGGCATGCCTTTCTGGTATGTTTTAGGGGCCGCCCACTCTGCAAATTCGTCGCCGGCACCCTCCCCCGGCACCCCAGCACCCCCAGCCTCCCGAGGCCTCTGGGCATGCGTTTTTGGTAGCTGTTAGGAGCTCCCCCCCCCCTGCACCCCGGCACCCCCAGCCTCCCGACGCGTCTGGGCATGCGTTTTTTGGGACGTGTTCAAAAACCACCCACCCTGCAAATTCTTCGCCGGCACCCCCTCCTGCACCCCAGTTCCCCCAGCCTCCCGAGGCCTCTGGGCATGCGATTTTGATACGCTTGTAAAACCACTCCACCTGCAAATTCTTCGCCGCCCCCCCCCTGCACTCAAGCACCCCCGGCCTCCCGAGCCCTCTGGGCATGCGTTTTTGGAAGGTTCTTCGCGGCCACCCACCCATCAAATTCTTCGCCGGCGCCCCCCTCTGCACCCCAGCACGCGTTTTTGGTACGTTTTCAAAGGCCACCCACCCTGCAAATTCTGAGCCGGCACCCCCCTCCCCCGTACCCTGGCACCCCCAGCCTCCTGAGCCCTCTGGGCGTACGTGTCTGGTAACTTCTTTAGGGCCACCCACCCTGCAAATTCTTCGCCGGCACCCCCCCCCTGCACCCCGGCACCCCAGGCCTCCAGAACCTTTTGGCCATGCATCTTTTCGTAAGTTCTTCAAGGCCACCCACCCTGCAATTTCCTCGCCGGCACCACCTCCTACACCCCAGAATCCCTAGCCTCCTGAGTCCTCTGGGCGTACGTTTGGTGTATGTTTTCAGGGCCACCCTACCCTGCAAAATCCTCGCCGGGACCCCCCGCCGCGCCCGCCACCGCGTCTGACATCCCCAGCCTCCTGAGGCTTCCAGGCATTGGTTTTTAAGGACCCCCCACCCTGCAAAATCCACCGCGCCCGCCACCGCGTCTGACATTCCCAGCCTCCTGGAGCCTCTGGGCATCAGGTTTCAATTTTTAGGGCCCTCCACCCTGCAAAATCCTCGCCAGAGCCCCCCAACCGCGCCCGCCACCGCGTCTGACATTCCCAGCCTCCTGAGGCCTCCGGGCATACGTTTTTAGAGGCCCCCCACCCTGCAAAATCCTCGCTGGGACCCCCCACCGCGCCCGACACCGCGTCTAACATCCCTGGTCTCTCGAGGTCTCTGGGCATAAGTTTTTCGGAGCCCGCCACGTTGCACAATCCTCGCCGGAACCCCCCACCGCGCCCGCCACCGCGTCTGACATTCCCAGCCTCCTGAGGCCTCTGGGCATAAGTTTTTCGGAGGTCCCCACCCTGCAAAATCCTCGCCAGGACCCACCACTCCGCCCGCCACCGCGTGAGACATCCCCAATCTCCTGAGGCCACTGGACACAAGTTTTCAGGGACCCCCCACCCTGCAAAATCCTTGCCGGGACCCCCTACCGCGCCCGCCACCGCGTCTGACATTCCAAGCCTCCTGAAGCCTCTGGGCATACGTTTTTACGAGGCCCCCTACCTTGCAAAATCCTCGCCGGGACCTCCCACCGCGCCCGCCACCGCGTCTGACATTCCCAGCCTCCTGAGGCCTCTTGGCATAAATTTTTAAGGGCCCACCACCCTGCAAAATCCTCGCAAGGACCCCCCACCGCGCCTGCCACCGCGTCTGACATTCCCAGCCTCCTCAGGCCTCTGGGCATACGTTTTTAAGGGCCCCCCACCCTGCAAAATCCTCGCTGGGACCCCCCACCGCGCCCGCCACCGCGTCGGACATTCCTGGTCTCTTGAGGTCTTTGGGCATAACTTTTTCCAGGGCCCCTCACCCTGCAAAATCCCCGCCGGGACCGTCCACCGCGCCCGCCATCGCGTCTGACATCCCCAGCCTCCTGAGGCCTCTGGGCATAATTTTTTAAGGGCATCCTACCTTGCAAAATTCTCGCCGGGACCTCCCACCGCGCTCGCCACCGCGTCTGACATCCCCAGCCTCCTGACGCCTCTGGGCATAAGTTTTAAGGCGCCCCCACCCTGCAAAATCCTCGCCGGGACCCCCCGCCGCGCCCGCCACCGCGTCTGACATTCCCAGCCTCCTCAGGCCTCTGCAAACGTTTTTACGAGCCCCCCACCCTGCCAAATCCTCGCCGAACCCCCCCACCGCGCCCGCCACCGCGTCGGACATTCCCTGCCTCCTGAAGCTTCCGGGCATCGGTTTCCAAGGGCCCCCACTCTGCAAAATCCTCGCCATGACCCCCCACCGCGCCCGCCACCGCGTGAGACATCCCCAACCTCCTGAGGCCTCTGGGCATACGTTTAAGTTTTTCGGAGGTCCCCACCCTGCAAAACCTTCGCCGGGACCCCCCACCGCGCCCGCCACCGCGTCTGACATTCCCAGCCTCCTGAAGCCTCTGGGCATACGTTTTTAGGGGCCCCCCACCCTGCAAAATCCTCGCCGGGATCTCCACCGCGCCCGCCACCGCGCCTGACATTCCCAGTCTCCTGAGGTCTCTGGACACAAGTTTTCAAGGGCCCCCCACCCTGCAAAACCCTCGCCGGGACCCCCTACCGCGCCCGCCACCGCGTCTGACATTCCCAGCCCCCTGAGGCATCTGGGCATACTTTTCGACCCCTCAGCCTGCAAAATCCTCGCCGGGACCCCCCGCTCCGCCCGCCACCGCGTCTGACATTCCCAGTCTCCTGAGGTGTCTGGGCATAGGTTTTTCGGAGCCCCCCACCCTGCCAAATCCTCGCCGAACCCCCCCACCGCGCCCGCCACCGCGTCAGACATTCCCAGCCTCCTGAGGCCTCTGGGCATTGGGTTTTTAAGAGGTCCCCACCCTGCAAAATCCTCGCCGGCACCCCCCACTCCGCCCGCCACCGCGTGAGACATTCCCAGCCTCCTGAGGCCACTGGACACAAGTTTTCAGGGGCCCCCCACCCTGCGAAATCCTCGCCGGGACCCCTTACCGCGCCCGCCACCGCGTCTGACATTCCCAGCCTCTTGAAGCCTCCGTGCATACGTTTTTCGGGAACCCCCACCCTGGATCTGGGCATCATGCATTTGGGCAACAGTTTTTTTCAGGGCCCCCCACTTTACAAAATCTTCGCCGGGACCCCCCACCGCGTCGAACATCCCCAATATCCTGAGGCTTTGGGCCTACGTCTTCAGGGGCTCCTCACGCTGTAAAATCCTCGCCAGGACCCCCAACCGCGCCCGCCACCGCGTCTGACATTCCCAGCCTCCTGAAGCCTCTGGGCATAGGTTTCTCGGTGCCCCCCATTGTGCAAAATCCTCGCCGGGACCCCCCACCGCGTCTGACATCCCCAGCCCCTGAGGCCTCTGGCCATGTCCGCATCCACGGCTATTTCATGACCGACAGGAGGGTATTCGTTTCGCTCCACGATCTCCGGAGATGAGCGCACAGCTCATCTAGTCCGTATTCCCGACTGGGCCCGCCCCACGGTCCATGCCCGCTGGGCTTTCCGCCTCGCGCTGGCCTTTTCGCATTTGGTAAAATATTATGCGACCGGTCTGCCGCGCGCTTCCGACTGCGCCCCTGCTCTGCATCGCATATGTTACACCACTGTGTCCCGTCCGATCTCTTCGTCGCCCGCCTTGACAACCACGCGCTGAATCCCGCCTTCTCGACGCAATTTTTACACTGCACGCACTTCCAATACCCGCGCGGCGTTCGCGCTCCCTTGACGCACGTTTCGCACTTGCGTTGCTTGTCGGCGACGTCGTTCCACATCCGCCCAGAGAACGCGGCCTCCGGTTGTTCCTCGCCGCACGCCGCGCACGACTTCACCTTCACCTTCTTGTTCCTTTCGGCGGTAGCTCCCTTGACGCACGCTTCGCACTTGCGTTGCTTGTCGGCGACGTCGTTCCACATCCGCCTCGAGAATGCGGCCTCCAGTTGTTCCTCGCCGCACGCCATGCGCGACTTCACCATCACCTTCTTGTTCCTTTCGGCGGCAGCCCGCTCGACGCACTGCATGAATTCCCGCGGCCTCGGCCTCTCTTCCCACATTGAGCCCGAATACATGTCGCGCGGCTTCTCCTCGCCGCACCCCGAACACATCTTCCGTTCCTCTTTCCCTCCCCGCCGCTGCACATCTTTCCTGCCCCCCCCTCTTGCATTTGTCGCATGCGCGCCCCAGGTCATCTACGTCGCGCTTCGCGAAGTGGGTGGCGATCTTGCTCTCCTTGCAGCGGCCGCATACGAGGTGCTTTTTCAGCTCTTCACGCTCTGCGCACATTCCTCCTCTACCACGGCTGTTCCCCGCCAGTTCCCACTGATACTGCGCGAACGCCTCCTCGCATTTTCTCACTTCGCACACGCGGCAACTCCTTCCCTCGGGGCAGTCCACGCAACGCCGCGTTGTCAACTTCGACGGGTGGTGCTGTGAAGCGGGGAACGCCCCCTGGCATTCCCGCGGACCACACTCCATGCATCGCCACGGGGTGCCCAATCTCTTCTTGTCTTCGAGGCACGCGCTGCACGCGCGCAGCCCGTCTGCGCGGCTCCCCTGCCCCACCGTCGGGTACATGTTTTTGTACTTCGTGCATCCGCAAACCGCACACCTGCCGGACGGCATGAACTCCTTTTCTATCGCCTCCCAGTCCAAGACTTCCCCGCGCAGGGTGCGCAACAGCAATCCCGGCCCCCTTCCGCTCGCCCTTCTTCTGACACGGCGCAATGTCGAACGGGCGAAAGATCAGCATGTCCTCCCGGCGATGCACCCTCGTCAGTGCCACGCAGCTCGACAAAGGTGACGCGCCCCCGCCGATGCTGAGGTCCACGACGGCACCTCGCTTAAAAGTTTGCCCCTGCGCCACGTAGGCCGCCGCCCCGAAGGCCGGAGCCAGCGGGAACTGCCGTCTTTTGACCTTCAGTCGCGGGCGCGGACGACCTTTATCCACGAACCACTCCTTCCTTTGCGGAACCACCTGGTGCAAGCCCGGCGTCCTTAGTCCCTCGATCGCCCACTCGCGCGGCTTCCGCCCGCCCTTTCCGTCGTCGCCTTCGTCGAACAACACGAAAATCACTTTCGGAGTCTTCTTCAAAATGGCGCCCCCCCCCGCGCGTGACCCGATCGCGCTCTCCGTCCCCGTCGCAAACCCAAGGCTGAACGCGGCCGACGCGACCGCGCAGGAGGTTCTTGTCCTCGCTGCGATCTATTTGATCAGTCAGAGCGACTGGCATGCCTTCAGCGATGGGCAAGAAGCCGTGCAAATCTCCGCTCTCCATGTCGTGTCGTTGGAGCCATGCCACCTTCTGCTGCGGCAGATCTGGTCGCTCGCGGAGCGCCTCCGGCGTTGGCGTATGCCGCGCAGGGACGTGCACCATCGGCTGCCCGTGCCTGCGCGCGTACTGCGACGCTCGGAGCTTGTTGGCCTCATATTTGAAGTCGTTGTTCGGAAACACTCCCGGCGCGATGACGAACTTCTCCGACTGCAGACGCGGGTCGTCCGGGCCATCCACCACCAAACGGCGCCGCGCACGTTCCCCTCTGCACACCTGACACTCCTGTTGGCGGATCTCCTTCGACGTTACCTTGCGTCTTCGACGTTGACCCGCTGCGCCCGCCGCTTCATCCTTTGCGCCGTCGCGCAACTCCCGGCATGCCCGATTCCGGCAACCCAAGTCTCCGCGCAGCCAGCTCCACGTAACGGCGGTGCCCCTGCCGTGCAAGAACGCGCGCGCGTTCGCCGACAGCGCCCCTGCACGGAACTCTTCCTGCACCTCCTTCAACCAGGCGTCGTCGCACCGCTCGCACTCCACAAGCTCGGTCACGCCCTGCACCCCGCGCCCAGGTCCACCCCGCAGTAGAGATTGGCCATGGAGTACAGGTGGCAGGGATGTGTACTTGCGCGCCGCCGAGATGCGCTCGGTGGGGACGTCCGCCAGGAAGCCACCGTCGGGGGGTGCCAGTTGCCAGAAGTCACCACTCAGCACGACGTTCAAACCGCCGAACGGGCGCGGCACGCCTCCGTCTCCGCGCTTCGCTGCGCCCACATCCCGGATCACCCCGCGCAGTTTCGCGTCTACTTCTGCCAGGAGTCTGGCGCTCACCATGCTGATCTCGTCGATAAACAGCCACCTCCACTGGAGCACGCGCTTGGCAGTCTCGCACTGCAGCTTGACATCCTCCCCCTTCTCTTCTCCCCGCTGGATGGCTGGCACGCCGCGCGCATGGTGGATGGTGCCCCCTCCTAGCAACTGCGCCATGACAGCTTGCAGGGCGGCGATTTGGAAGTTCACCCCGATCGTCCACTTCATCAACCCCTCGAACAGCTCGTGGCGAAGAATGCGCAAGACGTGTGATTTGCCCGTCCCCGGGCCCCCGTGCATGCACCACTGCAGGGGTTCCCCCAATGGCCGTCTCCTCCATTCCCTCGCCATCGATCTCCTGCATTACCCGACGCGCCACCTTCTTCACTATCTCGAACTGCTTCGCGTTCACCACGCGCCGCCCTGCGTCCTTGTCCATCCGGAACTCGAGGTCCTGGAACCACCTGGCCACGTCATCCGATGTGGCGGCCGCGCCCGCGGCCGCGACTCCTCCAGCAGCGTCTGTCATCCTGTCGGCCATGGAAAACTCTTTGTTCCGAGACTTCCGCGCTTCCCGGAAAACCAGGTCCAAGTCGCAGGCCTGCTCTGCCGGCCAAGCGCCCGGCACCTCGCTGAGCGGCGTTTCGCCGCCCCGAAGCCCCCGCGACTGCTGCGCCACGGCCATGCCCAACTTCGAGTTGTCGTAATGAGACGCGCCTCCAGCTCCGTCGACCGCACCCCCCTCCTCGCCGGCGCTGTCTCCGCCCCCGTCTTTCCGTCGCTTCCCGCCCCCGCGCGACTGCAGCGCCTCGTCGAGCTGATCGAACCCCCATCTAATTCCACGTCTCTCACGTCTTCGTCGCTCCGTTCCTCCGCTTCGCCAGCATCCCGCGGTCGGGCGCGGTGCGCGCTCAGGAAGTCCCCCACGTACCGCGCGGCCTCCTTCGTCTGCGCTCCGCCGTCCAGCCACTCAACCATGTATGCGTCCCATTTCGGTGCTTCGCCACGCAGGCCCCCTGCGAACGCTACGCGTTGGTCCGCCACGTCGGGCCTCAGGGTCCACGGGTGGAAGTGCGCCATGGCGATGCGCGCCGACCGCTCCGCTTCCCCTGGACGCCCGCGCGGCACGGGTGCTCCGAAAAAAATTGGCGCCATGGGCCTCCTATTCCGCTTCAGAATCCACGTGTGGCGAAGGTGGGCGCACCCTTCGGTGCCCCGATAAGGAACCCAATCGTCACCTCGATCCTCCTTCACCGTGTAGCCCACCCCGGGC